TTTCCTTGCCTGATTTCACTCTCTCCAGGACTGGCCTGATTGTTCTCCTGGCAGTCTACGGTATGTTCAACACTCTTCTCCAGCACCATAACTCAAAGGCATTGATCCTTCTTCTATCATTCTTAGTTATTATCCAGCTTTCTGATGCATAGCAAGTAAATGTGCAGACCACAGCCTGTATAAGGTGCACCTTAGTCTCCAGAATGACATCGTTGCTTTTCAGTACTCTGGAAAGGTCCCTGGCAACTTTCCCAATGCAATTTGTCTTCCGATTTCCTGACTGCGAGTGTCAAGAATGTTGACTGTGGAACCAAGCAAGCTGAAGTTATTAACAATCTCAATCTCTTCTCTATCATGAAGCTGCCAATTGGTCCTGTGGTGAGAATCTTTGTCTTCTTGATGTTGAGCCTCAATCCATTTTGAAGATTACAGTTCTTGACCTGAAGCAAACATCATATCCTCCTCAGTTTCAGCAAGCAAGGTTGTGTCATCTGTATAACGCAGGTCATTGATAAATTCTTTTCCATTTCTGCCATATTCCTCCTCATAAAAGTCCAACCTCACAAATGATCTGTTCTGCATATAAATTGAAAAGGTATAGAGATAGGAGCATCCCTGATACACATATTTCCTGATCCTAAACCATGCAGTGTTTTCCTGCTCTGTTCTGACTACTGCTTCCTGGTCCAATCACAGGTTTCACAAGACAATATAGTATAATTTAATGTTAAAATAAGAAATATTATTAGTGGTTAAAATTACCAGTAATATTTTCAAGACTTAGATAATCACAATACAAGAAGTGCTTCTGATTTGTAATATACACAGGAGTTTAAGTGAAAACAAAAAGAAAAGAGGTGAGGAAAGAGGATGATGATGATGATGATGATGGTGAGAAAAGGAAAGTAAAAATGAACAAAAAAGACCAGAGACATGCTGTATGAACAACAACAGAAAAGCAACACCATATTTGGGTTAATTTAGCAGATATTTTCAACACAATAAAGACTATGTACTCATTGGTCATATTAACATTATTAAGGAGTTGACAGAAATATCTCTTATTTGAAGAGCTACTGCTCAATTCTATTTTCTATTTTTCATGTAAGATCATTTTATATTCATTATCACAGTGCCAGGCACATACAAATAGTATGTGCTCACAGAGTGATCATCTGGCAGGAAACATAGTTTAACAAATAAACAAATGTATGGGAGAAAAAAGACTGAATTGCCTATGTTGATATGTTTGCTACTGGAGATGTGTTGCTTCTCCATGTAATAAAAGCTAATCTAGCCAGGGGATAATATGTGAGAAGGAGTAACATATAATGAAAAGAAAAAAAGGTTTGGGCTCATAAAGACCTATCTTTAAATTCAGGCTCCAAATCTTAGAGTGGTTTGATTTTTTTATTTGTTTGGGTTTTCTTTTTTTTTTTAAGTCCTTCAACAAATCACTTAACTTTTGTCTTGATTTCATTCACTTGTAACATGAGGATTACAATAACTACCTAATAAACCCTCAACAAGATGGACAAAAGAGTGACTGAAACTCAAGCTCATCAGAGGTGGTGAGGATGGTACAAAATAGGGCAGGTTCAGATCTGTGGTTCACTGAGTTGCTATGAGATACAGTCAACTCAACAGCACATAACCACAACAATAATAACACCCTCACAAACACAAAGGACTAGCAAATTTGGCCCTTAAAACAAGCTAAGATCCGTTCTCAAACAAATTCTGTAATTCATACGGAGCCCACTGATGGGTATTACTAACAATGCTTACCATCTGGTAGCTTCCTGTTTTAAATAATTACTCTTGCTAAATAGGTCCCAAGTTTTAAAAAGAACATTATAAGAAAAGTTTGCACTCTCTAAATTCTGGTTCCATTTACAGAAAATCTGATATTACCAGTCACAGTTGAGTTTATAGAGTTGTGAGGACTAAAAATAATGTAAGAAAAATCCTATCTTTGTACAGTGGCAGATATTTAATAGATATAAATTGTTGTTCAAACCTCTCATTAATATCTTTATCATCCATTAGCTAGTCTACATTCCTGTAAATATTCCAATAATCTTACAATGTGACTACAGATTAATCAACACTCTCACAGTATTATAGAAACAGAACATGGAATGATGAGGAGTGATGCACCTTCTCTTTAAAGAGTAAAGTGGTTTCACTTAACCTTGACTTTTAGACTTCTCTTCAATCTGTATATTCCTGAAGATTTATACAAAGGGAGGATTACTTCATTTCAAAAGCTATTTCTAGAATACAGGAATAAGTACCATGCTTAAGAAGAAAATGCCAAGTTTTCACTATTTCTATTGTGTTTTCTATCTACTCTTGGGGTGAGAAAATGCCAGTTTAGGAGTTAATAACAGCAGGCCAAAAATAACAACAGGTTTGCTGTTAGAGTACAGTATTTGTCTGTCAGTTTGCTGTACTGTGGTAACTTGTGGGTTGCTGTGAAGCTAGAATCTATGTTACCAGTGTTTCAAATGTCAGACAGGTCACCTGTGGTGGACAGGTTTCAGCAGAGCTCTCAGATTAAGACAGAAAAAAAGGAAAATTTGGACATTGATTTTTGAGAGAATAAGCTTCTGAAAACTCTAAGAACAAAAGAGGAATACAGGAAGCTATAGTATTAGGGGTAGAGTCAAAGTTTAAATAGTAACATAGTAAGATAGATCTAATGGGGTCTGTATCCATTTTCTAAAAGAGAAAGAAATCACCATAGTCAGCAAGGTGACTAACTAAATTATGCATTCATTGTTACTTACTGATATACATTCATAATTATCATTTTGAAGCAAGGATTTTTATTTTTCTGGTGCCATCAAGTGGTAACATAATGAAGTGTTCTGAAGTTAAATACAAGTAACTTCTAGGTAGAAAAATGTCACTCTGATGTGCTTTATCTTAAACCCAATGATGTTTTAAAAACTCAAACTCATTGTTGTTGAGTCAGAACCAACTCAGAATTTTGTTCCAACTGACTCTCCAGGTTTGCAGAGGCTGAAAATTGCACTGGTGGATACTGTCCATCTTTTTTCCCTGAGGAATTGCTGATAAAATAAATTTGAACCACCAGGGAGATTGCCATCACTATACATACTGCAGCACATCACTATACACACTAGGTCAACAGAGCTCCCTAGTGATATTTTAACACATAATTACTTAGAAAAGGGAAATATATCAACACATATTACTTCCAACTCATTCTCATTAAAATTCCCAACTCAAAACCATGAACTATGACAAAAAAAAATAGTTCTTAAGATCAGAATGATCTACCAATAAGCAAGCAAGCAAACATATGCCATTTCAGGGGAAAAAACACAAAAACAAAATGTGGATAAAAATTATACAACAGTCAAATTTTTAAAAATTATACAACAGTCACGTCTTAAGAAAAAGTGCCTTCAGAATTAACTGATCAATTAGAAACCTTAGAAATAGTAGCTAAAATTACTTAACTGTATAAAGAAGACATAAAATTAATTAGAATTAATATGAGCAACAGTTATTCAAAATTATGTGATAGCAGGTTCCAAATGGTCATACAAACAACTTCAGTAAGACATAATTACCATGAAAAAAATAAAAATATTTCAAACTCTGGTTATTGCTATATATACAAAGCATTAGCAGCGTTTTTTTATGTACAGGTGCAACAAAATAGGTATCTAATGTGAAATCTGAATACCCAGATGTCAGATTTGGTACATTTATATAGCTTAGAGCCTCATAAAACCCTATAAATATGGCAATAAACATTCTTTCTTTAAAAAAGCAAAGAAACAAACCACAAACTTTTCAAGGCAAAACCCAATGTATAAAATTATTAGATGTAAAAATATTAAGACTAGAATTTTAGATGCCTTAAAGAAAATGGATTAGTAGTTACTAACTTAGAAAACCCAAGAAAACAGCCTGATCTACATGCGCCACAAAACTCCTCCAAAATTCAGCAACTATTAGCACGATGCCAAGGAAAAAACTGAAAATAAAGAACTGGTCAAAATCTCAAATTAGGAAGCAGATAAGACTCCCTTACCATCATCATCATCATCATCACCCACATTTCCTGGTCTACTCTATACAGGTAAGCATATACCCTTATCCCACTCCATTATAAGACATGATGGTTTATAATCTCAAAAGGATAAAATAGAAGACTTTTGGATTATAGGATATCAATCAGAGCGAAAGTACAGTGAATACTGCAAAATGTTAGCAGTACTGGAAACTATGGTGATCTTAATGGTTTCTTTAAGTCAAAGATACCAGCATTATAATGAAATTATGATTTTCTGGAAAGAAGCTCACTTAAAGAAGCTCATATCAACCTTTGATTACTGTATTCAAAATGTAATGGTACTGTAGTATGCTTCATTCTGCTTTTAAAAGGCAAGTGACTGAAAAAAAAGTAATGCTTTAATTAAAAAAGTATTATTTTAATAAAACCCATTATATTTAGCTATGTATGTTCTATGTCATCTTCATTAATTAATCAGCTAAGAAGCACTGCATCCAATGAAGAATACAGTAGTGGACAAAGCCAAAGGCCCTTTATACTCTCAGTCTCAAAGCACATGTCATTTTTGTCTCTTTAGGTCATCAAGAGTAAATGGATTAGAGTATATTTGTGAATACTACTGGGAGTTGAAGACTGGCAAACGCCAGTCACCAAATCAAAAGAAACAAAAACTCTATTAATACAAAAGACATAGAGTCTTGTTGACTTAAAAGAGATCTACTTATATACATTAACTGCTCAAAATAGAGTTAAATACCTCTGATACTATCTTAGATCTCACATAACTAAAAGCACATAGCCAGTATATAACTTACTGAGGATTCATTAATGTCTTTTTTTTTAGTCTTGTTTCTATACAGGATTATGAAGCCAATAAAGTCATATAGATATACTTCTCCCACAGATAAAAACATTCCCAAACATATTAATATAGATAAAAGTGTACCTTGAACACCTTCTAGTAGTAAATCAACTCCTTTCTTATATAAATCAGAAGCAGCTTCATAGTTTTCTTCTTCTTCCTTTTTCAAAGCCAGCTTAATTAATTCTCCTGCTTTCTCCAAATAATCTCTCTTGCCAAGTTTGTGTTTTAAACTCCCAGGAAAGAGGCTACGGCTTTCCCGTTCTTCTTCCGTTTTGTTCTGTTCACTGTCAGAAGCAACAGCCCCTAGTGCTGAAGTATCCGAAGAAAGATTGAGACCAAAAGTTCTAGTGGGAGAATTTTGATTGGAAGCCATTCCATCATCTAACTCAGCAAGAGAATCCACATCAACAGTAAGAGATACCAGATCACTGTCACTGGAGATGCCTAGAAATATGATCACAACAGTAAACAGATATTAAACTGAGAATCAGCCAAAAGGATACAAATCATGCTGAAAATTCATTTTTATACTATCCAAGTTAATTAGAAAAGATAAAATTTACTGATAGAAGTCAATGTCTAGACATAAGATACAGCTTAATTCAATCATTTCCACACCAGCCCTCTCTATAATTCTGGATTATAATCTTCTTGCCTTAATCATCAAATTAAAATTGGAGAATTGTCTTTATCTGATTTTGTTTTCCAAAACAGTCTATACCACAAGATCTTCTAAATTGTTTCTAGAAAGCTGTTCTTATACACGGAGCGGTACTAAACAACTGTTGTTGTTGTTGTTGTTGTTGTTGTTGTTGTTGTTGTTGTTATGTGCCATCGACAACTATATTTAATTAAATGAAAAACAGTAAGAGATTGGGGGAGTCGGACAAAAAGTTCTTCAATCTCAGTTTTTAAAATTTGCTGTATGACCACTAGCAAGTTCCTTAAAGTATAATAGACTGTTATAACTATTACAATAATGTCTACACAATGCATACTCACAATTGTGCTTTTAGGTAACTATTCATATTTGAAAAGTTATGGCGTTTTGTTTTGTTGTCTTAACAACTAACCTTTTCAAAATCTGAATGGTTTCAGCTCTTCTACAGTTTGTAGAAAGAACTTGAGTCTCTCTTTGCACTTTAGCTTTCTAACAAAAATACGTAATACATGCTGTTGAAACATTAAGCAGTAAAAAAATTTTTTTTCAATTCACATAACTGGATGATACAGGAGCAAGTCCTACATACAGTAACAGCTCATGCATTTTTTTCTCAAGACCCCCTCTCTAGTTTTATAATTGTAACAACTGTTGAGAACTTCAATTTTGCTTATGTTAATTATGACTACCAATACCATCTTACAAAATAAAACGGAGATATTTTTAAATATTCATTCACCTTAAAAAGATATTTTAAAGCCCACTGCATAATTTTTTGGGGGGAAAAACACATTTTCCAAGACTATTCAGTAGAAAGAGTTGCATTAATTTACTTTTTTTTTTAAATCTCATACAAATTTGACTAAACAGAGGATGGCTAGTTTCTCACTTGAGCTGCTGTATTTAGTCAGCCGCCATATGCTCTTTTGTTTGAATGACATAAGAAGTTATGTAAGTCAAAATGGGATGAATATTTTAACCTTTTCAAAAAATTACAGATATTGTTCTGTGATAGAATACAAAAATTTGACAAGGGTAGTTCCTTAAAGCTTATTATACAATGTGGAACATAAAATTCCATCAAGATCTTCATATTCTATTACATTAATATTCTCTGGTTTGTTCTGTACTTTGAAAGGATCCTTAAGCAAAGCATGAGTTTGTAGTATCACCTATTGTTAATATTTTTTAATATTGGTTCCAGATGTTATGCAGAATTTCTAAATGTTAGCACATAATGCAATATCTATTCTCCCAAAATCATTTGTTAAGATCTCCTCTTTAAATTAAGTATAAGGAAAATGTAAAGTTTATTAATGGCAGGTAAAAGTTTTCCAAAATCCTAATTTTATATCAGAAGCACAAATTTTATTGTTAATAATGCATACTAACAGTTATTAGATGATTGCAAAAATAATGCAGGATTTTGGTTGCTTGATTTATATGTTATACTTTGTAAGTCTTATTAAAAAATATTAAATGTTATATAATCTTTTAAAGCTTATTTAATGCTCATTTCCTTCTGTAAAACTGGTTTTAAATAAAAATTATACTTCGTCTATTTTTTTAAGATCTAGCATATTATTGTGGTTGTTATGTGCTGTCGAGACAGCCCTAAATCCTGCTCTATTCTGAGCCAACCTTATTCTCTCTAAAATGCCTACCCACATACCCCAGTCACTGAATCAATCCATTTTATTGAAGGTCTTCCTCTCTTGCACTATCCCTCCACCCTCCCAAACATGATGTCCCTTGCCAAGGACTGGCCGTTCCTTGCAACATGTCCAAAGTATGTCAGACAAAGCCTCAGAAGCCTTGCCTCCAGGGAGCAGACACAGAGGATGTCAAAAAAGCTTTTCACTAAGTCCACTTTTAAGCATTCAAAATTTTGCTGCAGTGCAGTACAAACACCTCAAATATATTAATGAAGTTTGGGGCAAAAAAGGTATAAACTAATGCATAGTACCACACTAGTTTCAAAAATTCCATCATTGTGATTCCCAATTCCCAAGCTAGGTGGACAACAAAAGTTGGCAATGATCTGCTGAGGACAATGTAGATGCTATCCCCTCAACACTGCATAAGAAGTTAAACGGTATGTATCATTCTATAAGTCATCAACTACATGTCATCTTTTAGCACAAACTGGAAAGGTGAAGAAGCTTAACAAATGGGTAGCATAGAAACTGAACAAAAATAAGGAACTGGCCCTTTTAAATCTTCTCCTTTCACTCAATAAAACAACTCATGTCTCAATCACATTGCAACATGGAATGAAAAATGGATCCTTTATAACAAATGATGACATTCAATACAGTGGTCAATCAGATCTCAGTGTCGAGTACCACCCAAAACCAAGCTTAGGCCAAAAGTGGTGACTGTTTGGTGGTCTGCACCTTGACAAATTCTAGGTGAAATTCTCAAATCTAGGTGAAATCATTACAGCAAAGAAGCACTGTGAAGAAATGCACCCAAATCAGCAATGTTTGCATCCGGCACTTAACAAGAGAAAAGAAAAGTCCAAACCTTCTGCATGACACTCTTAACCATACCTCGCACATCCAATATTCCAAAAGCTCAACAAATTGCGTTACAAAACTTTGCCTCCTCCAGCATACTCATGAAACCTCTCAAGCAGCTGACTACCATTACTTCAAGTACCTTGACAAGTTTTTGCATGGGAAACTCTCTTCAACCACCAAGGTGCAACCAAAATGCCTTCAGAGAACTCATCAGCACAAGAACCCCAGCATTTATGTTAACGGAACAAGCAAACTTGGATCTTGTTAGTAAAAATGTGTGCACTGTACTGGTTCTTATTTTAATTAACAAAGTAAACTCTAAGCAGTTACAGAATTCAAAGTTGATGTTTAAGAAACTGCATTATTTTTGAGACACTCTAGTATTTTTCCCTAACGGGTCAGCTCACTTCATTAACTTTTGAGGAAGTACTTGTCAAATACTCATGTCTGACTAACAGTAATTTGACAGTTGTTCTTTTAAGCTAAAAGGGAGGTCCATGAAAATGGTAGTTAAAGCCAATTCATGAATCAAACAACTACACCAGGGCAATTCAGTATACAAATGTGATTTATATTTATTTGTCATTTTCTCATAAAAAAAACTTTTAAAAGATATGTCTCAATGGCAGCAATTTACTAAATGCTTTATTAAGGATATTCTTAAATTAGTAATTATTTTACAATTAAAATACTGCAATTACACATAACAATTACTAGTACGCTATGGTGTCTTGTCTTGCTTCATGCAGAACACCAATCTTGCTTTTTTATGTCATCTGTGCAAATATTAGCACAGTAAAAAAAGAAAATAAAGACCTAATGTTATCATCAAAATAAGTTTTGCCTAACATCTTATACAGTGCAGCCAGGGGAAGCTGGTCTTGGCTGCTCTACATACCAACACCACCAAGGACAATTACAATCTTTAGAAGAGAAGGGTGCAGGAAGGAGAGACTTGAGAGCGTGGCTGCATAGCGGTATATGCCCCTGCCCCACTCAACCCTACATAGGATAAAGAGGGGTGAGGAGGGTGGTCTCAAGCAGAAGAGATCCACAACTGGCTATCCACAAGACCTGAGAGGGCTGCTGCATAGAGGTACTTGTGGCTCTGCACACACACACACCCCGATCCAAAACCAGACAAAAAGTGCCTCTTCCAGGGAAGTTGGTCTCCCTGCTCTGAGCACCAGCACCACCAAGGACCATTACAAACTTCAGAAGAGCAGGTGCGGACTGAAGAAATTCCCACTGCACATGAGACCTGAGACGGTGGCTCCATAGAGGTACATGGTCGTGCCCCCCTTGACTCCACACAGATAAAGAGGTGCAGCCACATGGAAGTTGATCTCCAGCTGCACTGTGCACCAGTAGCACCAAGAACAATTACAAACTTTAGAAGAAGTAAGTGGAGATAGGACAGATTATCATCAGGCTACATAGTGTCAGTCTGGTGACTAAGATGCACTGATTCAGGCCATAGTCTTTGCAATTACTTGTTGTACATCAGAAAGCTGGACAAGGTCTAGGGATGAAAGAAGGAGAATTGATGTTTTTGAGCTCTGGTGGTGAAAAAAATATACCATGGATTGCTAGGAGAACAAACAGGTTCATCCTAGAGTGGATGAGACCAGGCTGCATCTTGTAGGCAAGGATTCTGAAGCTTCATCTGACATATTCTGGATATGTGGCAAGGAGGAACCAGTACTTAGAGAGCAAAGCCATGCTTGGGAGAGTGGAGGAACAGCGCAAGAGAGAAGACCCTCAATGAGATAGATTGACTCAGTGACTGTGATAATGGGGTAGGTGTGTCATAGACAATAAGACTGGCAAAGGACAGAGCAGGGAATAGGGCTACTGTATATAGGGCTACAAGGAACTCTACAGCACGTAACAACAACAACAATATATAAGATTTTACTACAACAAGATAAAGGTAAATAAGCCAATAGAAAAATGGGCACAGGATATGAACAGACACTTCACCAAAGAAGACATTCAGATGGCTAACAAGCATATCAAGAAATGTTCAAAATCCCGAGCTCTAAGAGAGATGCAAATCAAAACAACTATGAGATATCATCTCACCCCAGTCAGAATTGCAAAATTTAACAGAACAGCAAGCAAAAAATGCTGGTAAGGTTGTGGAGAAACTGGAACCCTTATTCACTGTTGGTGAGAGTGTAAAATGGTGCAACCACTGTGGAAAGCGGTATGGCGCTTTCTCAAAAAGTTGCAAATAGAGATACCATTTGACCCAGCAA